ATTCCTGAATTTTGAATTTTTGGGGATTTTAAAAATTTGCCAGTGCTCTTTTCATCCATGCACCAGTTTCATGATTGTGATAACTTTTCAATCAATTGCAAATGGAATAATAATATTTAAAATATTGTTAATAAATATGCTGAAATGTGCTGTTATCCATATTTTGAAGTGAATATGCTTCACTCAAAATGTGGTATGAAGTGAAGAGGGTCAAAAATATTGAGATTGCTATGCTAGGTTAGCGGGAAACTTCATCTAGGCTCCCATGTCCGTGTCCGACACTTCTTGGACACTTCTTGAATATATACATACATTTCAGACATATATTTAATTATATAACACATGCTTTAGTTCGAAATACTTGTCATACACTTCTTGAACGTACACTTCACCTCAAATTTTGCTACTCATTGGACTTGGGGCAGGTTTGTTTTAGCAGATACCTAGTTCATAAGTATGATTTTAAAGGGTTATTTGGATATCTAGTTCAAAAAACGAGTAGTTTTTCAACTTATAATTACTTGATAAAAGAAACATGAAAATAGTTTAAGGATTTTAGTTCTCATAACATGTGGATGAAAAAAAAATCGGTCTCATGTAGATTATAAATTTTAATATGTATGTATATAGATATGTCCCCGTACCCTAACTTTTACAATTTTTCTGTGTCCCATATCCGCACATGTGTCTTTGTCTGCGCCTGCACCCGCCATGTAGCATAGCTGCTATGACAGAGACAAGGTAACCAAAAGATTAAACAACCTAATTTGCTATCTGCAGAGTTATGCAGAATGTATAATATGGAAAAATTGGGAGCAAACCAGTTACTTGACCAAGACTGATTTTCCATGTCAGGAAAAAATGATGCCTTTTCTCCTTTCATTCCAACTGAAGTTTGGTATAAAATCTAGATTGCCTACTACCAGCCAGTTTTCAATATGATGACTGTTCCTTTACTTCTAGTGCCTGTAATCCTTTCTATATCTATAAGGTGGTAGCCTTGCATATTTGATAGGGGTGATGTTGTAGACATTTTCATGGTCTTAGCCTCCTTTCAAGTCATTGACTTTGTTTTTGTTGCAGATAAACGTTATCGTCAATAGGCCAGGATAATCTATTCAGATCCTTATTTCTATCCCCAGAAAACAGTAAAATCCATATTTGGGTTGTCTAACACATGCTTAACCTGATATATGAACTGGGTACATGACGTCCCATTACAGTGATGAGTTGATTGGATTTGAAATCAAGTTGAGTCCTGTAGAAGCCTTGTAGGTGATGGATTCATTGGATACATACAATCCTTTAACAGTGTTGGTAACATGAAGCATAGTAGATTGTTTACCTTGTAAAAGGGGAAGCTATTGATTAACAATTTATGAGATTTTCCTTTTTGTTGAAGTTTTTTCCTCTTTACTTTGAGCTTTCCGCTTAAAGCATACAGTAGACTTCTTACTGCTACTTCATATAAATTTCTACATATAGGCTGATATGCTTTTGTCCATACCCTCTTGGGCTATTTGATCCTTCTTTTTGTGTTTTCCATTTGGGTAGCTTAACTTGCAAGGTTTGATATGCACAGAGTCATTATATACATGCCTCTTACAAAATCTCTTGTTATACTCACCTTATGCTAAATACTTTGGGTGTCAATACACTTTATGATCAATTAATATCTACTGTCTGTTTTAGAAGAGTATTAAATTGTTTGGTGTAGTCAACACTAAGTTACTAACATTAGACATCCTAGCATTTGTCCCACACCAATATTTTAAACGTTATTTGCCTCTCCTCTATTGGTTTGTATTTATAATAGAGTAGACAATACATAATTAACCCCCAAGCAATGTGGTACTAAACAAAGAGACTTAACAACTCTGTCACAAGACAATGTAATCGGTAAACTTTGGTAAATAAAAGCATATCACTGTTTGATGTGTGTTAAAATCTTTTCATGTTTTAGGTACACGGTGAAATCCAAGAATTCTAAAGGATTGCCGTTGTCTACCACATCACCATGACAGTTATTTTCTTGTTGTTTTTGCATGCAGATAATTTGGAATTCCTCAACCCGAGCTGAACTTCTCAAATTTGTAGATCAACAGCGTACCAGCCAAGGTCCTGATGGTTCATTTGACTTGGCAGAGTCACATTCTTTCACTTATCAGGCACTTTCTAAGGAGCTGAATGTTGGTAATGTATACCTTAGGGTTTATAATAATCAGCCAGATTATGAGATAAGTGAACCAGAGGCATTTTGCGTTGCTCTTCTTAAATTCATATCAGAGCTAGTGAATAATTTGAATGATTCAAGTATTCAGAGTAGATTGGATAATAATGGATCTCTTGTGGAGCCATCAGAAGTTCAAGGTGATAATCTCAGTGAGCCGGATAATGAAGAAAAGTCCAGCATGGAAGATATGACAGAAGAATCTGAAGTGGTTAAGAACCTTCATATGGGATTGACTTCTCTTCAGGTACATCTGTATCTTGGTAGGCTTTTTTTGTTTATCGGGAAGTGTAATACTTTCTTTTTTTTCTAAATGGCAGAATCTATTGACCAGCAATCCAACTCTGGCTTCTGCATTTTCTGCTAAAGAACAACTTGTACCCCTTTTTGAGTGTCTTAGTGTATCTGTTCCAGCAGAAAGCAACATTCCTCAAATTTGTCTTCATGTGTTTTCTCTTCTCACAACATACGCTCCTTGCTTGGAGGCTATGGTTGCAGAAAGGGCCAATCTCATCCTTCTATTGCAGTTACTTCACAGTGCTCCTACATGCAGGGAAGGGGCTCTTGCTGTTCTCTATTCCTTGGCTGGCACACCTGAGCTTGCTTGGGCAGCAGCTAAGCATGGTGGAGTAGTGTATATTCTGGAACTTATTTTACCTGTACAAGGTACATCCTTATTTCTAGATCATATCTGAAATAGATTCTTGATAAGTACATGTTACATTGGACTGAAGGGTTGAGGGACAGAGAAAGTTTTTGTCAGTTGGTCACAAGGAGGAAACTGTAGTAGCATATTGCCATTAGTAAATGGTTCTCATTGATATCCAGTGTTTGCTTGCTCTTCCTAGATGTGTCATGTAACATCACATTCTCAATAATGGCTTTACAAATATTTTGAACTGCATAAGTAAATTAGGCTAAGCATAAGTAAATTAGGCTATCTTCTAACTGCATGATGTTTGTCTTTAACTCACCATCACTCCTTATTTGTTGACTGCCTAAAAGCTTGTCTATAGAGCGCATATTAACAGAACCATTCTCTACTTTGGGCTACTTGTTTTCTTTTTCAAGAAACCAAATACTATATACTTCTGAAATTAGGTTTAACATGTCATGAGTCATAGGGGGTTTACATTGTAATAGAATTGAAGACAATAATTACCTGCAAGAAAAATGTTAGTGAGACACAGAAAAAAGTTGCTTGTAGAATATAGTTTTCATGTTCAAAGATGACCTATAAATGTTTAAGCCCTTGGTTGTTTCTGGATTTTTGCATGATGCGTTGATGTGGTCATTTGTTTGCAAGTGCAGCGAGTGCAGCGAATGCACCAAAAATATCTATTGCAGCAGGTTTCTTGCTAACACTAACACAAGTCATAGTTGCAGAAGAAATCCCTTTGCAGCAAAGAGCAGCAGCTGCATCATTGTTGGGTAAGCTTGTTGGACAGCCAATGCATGGTCCTAGAGTCTCTATAACACTGGCTAGGTTCCTACCAGATGGCTTAGTGTCTGCCATCAGGGATGGGCCTGGTGAAGCTGTAGTTGCATCTCTTGAACAGACAACGGAAACACCGGAACTTGTGTGGACACCAGCAATGGCAACTTCTCTCTCTGCACAATTATCAACTATGGCATCTGACCTCTACCATGAGCAGATGAAAGGCCGTGTTGTTGATTGGGATGTACCAGAACAAGCGTCTAGTCAACATGTAATGAAAGATGAACCACAGGTAAATTTCTGTTCTTTTTTAATTGTTGCATCTGAATGAATGCTGTTCTTGATGCAGATTCTAAATTACATGAACATGCAGGTGGGAGGGATTTATGTGAGGCTGTTCTTAAAGGATCCTAAGTTTCCCCTAAGAAATCCTAAACGATTTCTGGAAGGACTTCTGGATCAATATGTTTCATCAATTGCTGCCACACATTATGAGAAACATTCAGTTGACTCGGAACTTCCTTTGCTTCTGTCTGCTGCACTTGTGTCCTTGTTGCGGGTGCATCCAGCACTTGCTGACCACGTTGGATATCTCGGTTATGTTCCAAAGCTTGTTGCTGCAATGGCCTATGAAGGAAGACGAGATATGATGGCCTCTGGTGAAGTGAAAAGTGTGGGAAATTCCAACTCGAATGAGTTGAATGGAAGTGAAGATGAACTCTCAGAATCCAGTTGCCAAACACCACAAGAACGCGTGCGTCTCAGTTGTTTACGAGTTCTCCATCAGTTAGCGTCAAGTACAACTTGCGCAGAAGCTATGGCAGCCACAAGTGCTGGAACACCTCAGGTATGGAAACGTTGAGGTGCACTCTGCCTTGGGTGATTTTATTAGGTCTGCCTTGGGTAATTTACAAAAAATTGTCAAAACCGACCTATTCTAAAAAAATTTGTCAAAACTGACCTAGTTTCAGCCATCTGGCTGAAACTGGGTCGGTTTTGACAAATAAAAGTTTGAAACTTAGCAGCCTATTAATTAAGCTGCGTAACTTCACGGGCCTTCAAGTCCTGTGAAGTTTTTTTACTCATGAGACTTCCTGTGCTGGAAATTCAGCTCAAACTTCACGAGACTTCAAGTCCCGTGAAGTTTTTTCTACTAAAAAAATTCGTGGGACTTGAAGTCTCGTGAAAGATTTGTCGCCCTTAATTAGTGTTATTATAGGCTGCTAAACTTCATGGGACTTCAAGTCTTGTGAAGTTTTCAGACTTTTTTTTTCTCAAAACCGACCTAGTTTTAGCCCGACGGTTGAAACTAGGTCGGTTTTGACAATTTTTTTTAGAATATGTCGGTTTTGACAAATTTTTTTGTAAATAGGACGGTTTTCGAAGTTTGTCCTAATTATTAACAATTAAGCACAATCTTATGGGCTTATATATTGTGAACCATTACCTTTTATATCAGAATAGAAATCACTTGTTTAGGATCCAGATTAGATCTCAGCTTTCCCAGTGGCATGCCAGGGTGGTAGTCGAGATTTAACAGCACCCCCCTCCCAAAAAAAAAAAAAAACCACAAGAGAAAACAAACACATACCCCACCCCACTCCACCACAAAACAAAACAAAGGAGCAGATTGCTACTACCTGCTAGATGACCTGATATGAGCTTAAACCTATATATTACCGCAGCTCAACTTTGAGGGTTATTGCTTATAGATTACCTGAAATTGGTAGCAACTCGTGTTGGAAATGAGCGCTGTGTCTAGCTTATACTTAGCCACATACTAGGTCTGTTTTGTGATCAAAGGCCTAGCTGGGTTAATGTGCTATGTCTTACAGCTTCAGTTTCTATTGAGTGGTCAAATAAAAAACGGTGAACCAGCAGGAAATCAAATCTTTGAAGCATGGACTTCAAGTTATTTATGGCATACTTATACCACTGTTACCATAAAGTCAAGTTGACAAGTCCTGCATCTGTGGGGCCTTATTCGGAGCATTTACGTTTAACTTCATTAATGACACTTGAATGAACTAATTTACTGGCTTCCATGCAATCCAGAGAGATGATTTACCTACTAAGGATTAGTTTTGTTTATGTTCTATTGGCACAAGTGTATGGTTAGTGTTTGATGTTTTCTTTAAAGGTAAATTTCAAGAAACTATCTTCAAATTACATGATAGTTTTCAGTGAACTATCATGAACTTTATTTATTTAATTAGCTACGGTGAAAAATAAATTCTTTATCGAAAAGAAAAAAAGTTCTTGCAGGTGCTAATGGCATTTCTAGGATTATAATCCTGGTGTTTCAAAAATACAGTTTATTTTTTTTCTCAAAAAAAAAATACAGTTTATTTGCAAAAAGAACTCTGCTACAATAATAAAAAGAGGTTGCTTTCGCAAAAAGCACAATATCTTAATTCTTTTCTGAAACCCATGACGAAGGTCCCTCCTTTCCTCCCTTTTTTCCTTTGTTCCTGTTTTCTTTTTTTCCTTCCCATATCTTCATGTTTAAGTACTTTTATGATGCCCATGGATCCAAATCTCTATGACCATGGACTTGACAGCCATGGTCAATGGACTGGAGCCATGACTATGATTATGAACCAACAATCAATAACTCGAATTCCTTCATCTTTAGGGCTATGATTGTTATTATGACTTTCAGTTTTTGAAAAAACATGATAGATGTAAAATTTGAGTTTTAGCATGAGCATTAGTTAGAAGGGGAGGTGAATAGAGCGTTAAAATGATTTGGAGATGAGGGTGGAGGATTGAACAATGTTTGGTTTTAGGAGAAGGGAACGAAAGAAAGTGGGAAAAGTAAGAAGATGAAATATTAAATGAATTTAATATTAATTATTTCATTACTGAAGCCAAAGTTGGGAGTAATCTTGTCAATAAAACATCTTGTGACAGTCATATGATCACTTAAACAAGCAATTTTAACTGAGGGTAGTCGCTGAAAGAAGCTCTGGTTAGTAATTGAAAAAATTTATGATTGTTTCCTGAAAATCTAACCCTTTCTTTAAACTATGGTTGTTGCTTTGTTATTAACAAGTCTCTTTCCCAAACCATTTCTTCGACTAGGCCTTGTTCCTATGCCCGGTCATCGTATTTCTTTAACTTTTGGCATTTTATTATGTTCATCGTTAAGAGAAAATGGAGAATTATGTCCCTTGTTACGGTGGACTTTATAGGATTGGTGGAAACAACGTAGCTAAGGGGAAATGGAGAATTATGTCCCTTGTTACGCTGGACCTTATAGGATTGGTGGAAACAACGTAGCTAGATCAAGTAGTTGGCCTATAATTGTGTTTAATTATTTGTTTCCTTTGGTGTTTGTTTGTTTGTTCAATCATGCAACTTCCTCCAAGAGAAGCAGTGTACTAGCAGTTTCAGCTTGTGCATCATATGTTTTGCCACTTGAGGTATATTTGTTACTTATGTGATATGTTTCTCTTTTCCTTCATTTTTCCAGGTTGTACCTTTGCTTATGAAAGCAATCGGATGGCAAGGTGGCAGTATATTAGCCTTGGAAACACTTAAGCGCGTTGTGGTCGCTGGAAATAGAGCGAGAGATGCACTTGTTGCACAAGGCTTGAAGTAAGTCAATGTAAAGCTGTAGTATGGATAATTTTCTTTCCATTTGCATTTTTAAAAAGTCATCACTGTCATAGTTTTCATTTTTATCTTCTCGTCCTCCTTTGTGTTCCATGAACTGCTATTCGTTTTCTCTACCTTCTTTATTATTACTTTTCAATTGTTCTACTCTCGATTTAGTTAAACTACTCTGGTCTACTTGTGTATTTTGTCTTTCCGCTCTCAATTTTAGTGATTTTGACATTGTTATATTTATGTTCATACAAATGTCTATCTATAAAGAAATCTGAACAAAGATAATCCGGAAGTAATTTCCATTTTCTTGCATAAATAGCCTTCCCCTTTTTCCAGCAATGGCTTGCCATGATTTCTTGCTAAGCACTGGAACAAAAAAATTGTGAATTATGTAGGGTTGGTCTTGTGGAAGTGCTTCTGGGCCTTCTTGACTGGAGGTCTGGAGGAAGACATGGGTTCTGCATGCAAATGAAGTGGAATGAGTCTGAAGCATCGATTGGCCGTGTGCTCGCAGTGGAGGTATGCATGTGTTCTGACCTCTCCATATTACATATATCACAGTTAGGAAACAAACTACCAATTTTGATCTGGCTATTGTTCGTTCTTTATAGATCATATTTATTTTTCTCTCAACCAATTTATTCTGAAGTGCACATGTACTCAAAATCGTGGGTTATAGCCCATGAAAATCAAGAACCTTTTACAGAAATGAACAAAAATTATGAGTTATAGCATATGAAATCGTGAGTTTTAGCATATAAAATTGTGAGTTATAGCATATAGAATTGCAAACTTTTTAGTACATGTGCTTATTTGTTTTTGGGTTGAAAGGCAAAGATGAACAAATTTGCGGGTTATAGCCCACAAAAGTTTAACGAATTTTAAAATAATCATACATAATTGTCATTGGGTCGATGCAAACAAAAATTGCCAAAATCGTGCGTTATAGCCTAGGAAATTTTCAAAATTTGAACTACGTGTCATTAGATCCAAACGGATGATGAACAAATATCATAAGTGATAGCCCATGAAAATCTTAACTATGCGTACCTAATTTTTATTGGGTCGAAATGGACAAAAATAATTAAAAATTGGAAGTTATATCCTATGAAATTGCGAAATCTTAAGTACACACAATTGTCTTCGGTTGAGATAGAAAAAATATGACAAAAAATCGTGAGTCATAGCTCATGAAATCTAGGAATAAACATACTTAATTGTTATTGGGTTGAACACCAAAAAAATTCCTAAATTCTAGGTTACAGCCAATGAAAATTATAAATTTTTAACCATATGCTATTAGGTCAATATAGCCCACGAATTTCAAGAATTTTTAATTATGTGCTAAATTGTTGCTTGGTCAAAACGAACAAAAATAAACAAAAGCATGAGTTATAGCGTATGAAATCACAAATTTTAAAATGCACGTGCTTGTTTGTGTATGGGTTGAAGTAGACAAAAATTGAATAAGTTGGTTGTAGCCCACAAAAATTGAAGTAATCTTACTTAATTGTCAATGGGTTGAACAAACAAAATTGCTAAAACCATGAGTCATAGCCCATGAAATTTACAAATTTTAACTACATGCCATTTGGTCTAAATGAATGAAATGAACAAAAATCATAGGTTACAACCCATAAAAATCAAGAAATTTTTTATTACATGTACTTAATTATTAAGTCAAAGCAAACAAAATGAACAAAAATCGTGAGTTATATAGCATATGAACTTGCGAATTATGAAGTGCACGCACTTAAATGTCTTCTGGTTGTAGACAAAAATTGAAAAATTCATCGGTTATTGGCTACAAAAATTTACGAATTTTAAAGTAAATGTATTTAATTGTCATCCGGTCAAAAGAAAAAAAATTTACCAAAATCGTGGGTTGTACACTATGAAAATTGGAAATTTTGCACTACATTCTATTAGGTGGAAAGAAATAAAAATGAATGAAAATCTTAGATCGGATGAACAAAAAGCGTGAACTATAGTCTATAATTTGTTAATTTTGAAGACTATATACTTAATTGTCTTTTGGTTGAAATAAACAAAAATTGAAAAAATTCGTCGATTGTTGGCAATGAAAATTTACAAATTTTGAAGTAATCGTACTGAACTGTTTTAGGGTCGAAACGAATAAAAATTGTCTAAATCGTGGGTTATAACCTATAAAAATAGAAAATTTTAAACTACGTGCCATTAGATAAAAAAGATGAAAATGAACAAAAATCGTTGATTATAAGCCCACGAAAATTAAGAATTTTTAAATACGCGTACTTAATTGCTATTGGGCTGAAACGGATAAAATTGAACAAAGATCGTGAGTTATAGCTAATGAAATTTTAAAATATTAAGTATATTTTCTCAATTGTGTTTGGAATGAAATAAACAAAAAATTAAAAAAAAACCCGTGGTTTATAGCTCATAAAAATCAATAATTTTAATAAGTGTAGTTAATTGTCATTGGGTCGAACACACAAAAATTTCCTAATTCATAGGAGCCAATGAAAATTGTAAAGTTTAAACTACATGCTATTAAGTCAAAATATATGAACATTAAAAAATTGTGGGTTATAGCCTGTGAAACTCAAGAATTTTTAATTACACATTTATTGCTATTTGATTGAAATAGACAAAAATAAACAAAAATCACGAGTTATAGCTATGAAATTGCGAATTTTGAACTACACGTACTTATTTATCTTGGGATTGAAATAAACAAAAATATAAAAGTTCATTGTTTATAACTTACGAAAATTTACGTTTTTTGAAGTAATCGTATTTAATCGTCGTTGGGTCAAAACGAACAAAAATTATCAAAATCATGGGTTATAGCCCATTAAAACTAAGAATTTTAACTACTTGTGCTTAATTAATTAATTGGCATTTGGTCGATAAAAATTAACAAAAATCGTGAGTTATAGCTTATGAAATAGCGAATTGAAGTATACATATATAATTGTCTTCGGGTTGAAATAGGCAAATATTGCAAAATTCGTCGGTTATAGGCCACAAAAATTTATGAATTTTAAGCAATTGTACTTAATTGTTATTGGGTTGAAATGAACAGAATTTCTTAAATCGTGTGTTATAGCCCATAAAAATTACCACTTTTGCCAAAATTATGAGTTATAATGATTGCGAAATTTTGAAATCGTGTGTTATAGCCCATAAATATTATTGGGTAGAAACTTTAATATGAGCACACTTAGTTGTTACGGGGTCGAGTATCAAAAATTGCCTAAGTGGTGGATTACTGCCCATGAGAATTGAGAAGTTTTAACTATGCTTACTTAATTTCTATTGGCTTGAAATAGACAAAAATTAACAAAAATTTTAGTTAGCCAAGGTAATTGTGAAATTTGAAGTACATGTCCTTATTTGTCTTAGAGATTGAAATAGACAAAAACTGTCAAATTCGTGGGTTTACAACACACAAAAGTTTAAGAAGTTTAAAGTAATCGTACTTAATGATCATTGGGTCGAAACAGACAAAATTTAAAATCATGGGTTATAGGTCGTGAAAATTGCAAATTTTGAACTGTATGTCATTAGGTCGCAATGGATAAAAATGAACAAAAACCATGCGTTATTGCCCATAAAAATGAAGAATTTTAAACTATTCGTACCTAATTGCTATTGGGTCGAAGCAAACAAAAATGATTAAAAATCGTGAGTTATAACATATGAAATTGCGAATTTTTAATTACACATACTTTTGTCTTCGGGTTGAAATAGACAAAAAATGAAAAAAATAGTTATAGCCTACGAAAATTTATGAATTTTTAGATAATCGCACTTAATTGTCGTTGAGTCGAAATGATCAGTAGTTACCAAAATCGTGGGATATAGCCCATGAAAATTGTAAATTTTGAAATACCTGCTAATAAGTCAAAATAGATGGAAATGAACAAGAATTGTGGGTTATAGTCCAACAAAATCAAGAATTTTTAACTATTCATACTTAGTTGCTATTGGGTTGAAACAAACAAAAAATGAACAAAAATTATGAGCTATATGCTTATAAAATTGTGATTTTTGAACTACACATACTTAATTGTCTTTGGATTGAAATAGACAAAAATTGAAAAGTTCGTAGGCTTATAAAATTAAGCCACGAAATTTATGAATAGTAAAGTAATTGTACATAATTGTCATTAGGCGGAAAGGATAAAAATTGCCTAAATTGGAGGTAATAACCCATGAAAATTGTAAATTCTGAATTAGATGCCATTAGGTCGAAATGGATGAAAATTGTGGGTTATAGCCAATAAAAATTGGAAACATTTAAGTACGCATATTAATTGCCATTGACTCAAAACTAATAACAATTAAAAAATAAACAGAAATAGTAAGTTATAGCTTATAAAATTGTGAAATTTGAAGTATGCATATTTGTTTGTCTTTGGGTTGAAGCACACAAAAATTGACAAATTCGTGAAATATAGCCCACGAAAGTTTACGAATTTTGTAGTGCATGTACTTAATAGTAATTGGGTCAAAATGAACAAATATTGCCAAAATCGTGGGTTTTATATAGCTCATGAAATTACAATTGTTAAACACGTGTCACAGGGTTGAAACAGATGAAAATGAATAGAAATCACTTGTTATAATCGATGAAAATTGAGAAGTTTTAACTAAGTGTACCTCATTGCTATTGTGTTAAAATAGAAAAAATGAGCAAAATTTGAGAGTTATTGTCTATGAAATTGTGAATTTTGAAGTACATGTTATCCTTAAATCTCTTTGGATTGAAATTGACAAAAATTGAGATCTTGGATATTACTCATGAAAATCAGAATTTTTAATGTAAGCGTGCTTAATTGTTATTGGTAAAAAAGTCATAATTCAAATTTGATAGCCATATCCCATGAAAATCGACAAATTTTGAACTTGTGCCTTTAGGTCGAATCCAATCAAACTGAATAAAAATCGTGGGTTATTGCCTGTACAAATCGAAAATTTTTAACGAGGCATACTTTACCATTTGGACAAATTGACAAAAATAAACAAAAATTGTGAAATATAGCCATGAAATTGCGAACTTTGAAGCCCGCGTACTTGTCGGGTTGAAATACATAAAATTGACAAATCATGCGTAAATAGCTTGTGAAAATTAGGAATTTTAATGTAAGAACACTTGATCATCATTGGGTCAAACAATAACAAATTGACTATATAGTGGGTTATAGTCCATTAAATTTGAATTATATGCTATTAGGTCAAAATGATGAAGATGGAAATATTCATTGGTTATATAGCCCATGAAAGTCAAGGGTTTTTAAATATGCATATTAATTGCAATTGGGTCGAAAAAGATGATAATGAACAAAATTTGTGAGTTATAGCATATGAAGTTGTGAATTTTAAAGTACTTGTACTTAATTTTATTTAAAGTGAAATAGATAGAAATTGACAAAAAACTTGGGTTATCGCTAATGAATATATGCAATTTTAATATAAGCGTAGTTATTTATTGTTAGTTTGAACAAGCAAAATCTGTCAAAATCGATGAC